ATCTTGATTGTAATTAAGATAGATTCTGAATGATGTGTTTAAGGATCAGTTTTCACGCTTAACAAACTTGATTGCTCTCAAGTGACAGCGTGTCCTTTATGTACACCATGTTCTGTAATAACACCAGCGCTTCCCTCTCTTGCCAGCAATGTTGAGTATCACACCGTAACCGTGTTCCTGTACATGTACCATTTTTGTGTGGCCTTACTGGCGGTCCATGAGGTTGTACTAAATTACCTTTCCAACTTTTTGTAACTCCTGAAGAGAGTTAGAAATGATTCCAACTACGTGTACATGTAGGTTTGGTTTCTGCAGTCTTCGGTCCACCATTGGAGTACACACATATATCCCCCCTCCCCCGGTACTGGTACATGATTGTACTACATGTATGTGCACATTTACCAAAGGTACATACATGTACATGTACATGAACCATTCTAGCTGGTGCACATTTTCACTGGTAGTTTATATTGTTATGTTAGACTTCGTTTTTGAGGAAATTTCTGTAGCTGAATTAAGAGCTATTTATAGAGTACTGTTTCAGATTATGTTTTGTTGATGTGCATGAATGCATGCCGGAAACAAAAATAGTGCAGACAGGGAAGGAACATCCTTATTTCATATTCAGGAAAATCATGCATACACTGTTTTTGTTTAGGTGCTATCTACATTGCAATAAAACTTATTCAAGCTACATACACATACATGTAGATCTGTAGTAATTAGTGTACCGTTCTTGAAATCTCAAATGACCTACATGTACTGAAAAAAAAAGCTTTCCAAGTTGTAGCCGATAAAAAGTCAGAAAAAGCAAGCTGTTTTGTGTGTCATCTGATAAAACAACATCCACTCTGGAATGTTACACTTGGTGGTGTACTGGTAAACTACAATCTGAGGGCCCATTGTTATGGTTTTGTGCATGCAGACCCTGGAATTCCACAGAGTTACATTGCTTGGAGTGCCAGAACAAATACACCTTTAACCCTTACATTCCCCAAAACTCCCTGCCTATCACTCTCTGCAGCTGCTGTTCCATCTGACATAGAAGCCTTTTTCCACGTGATGTGCACAATGTGCCACTACATGTACATGTATGTATCGTACAATGTGTGTAGGTACAGTTTTTACTCACTGGTGGTACATGTACACCCATGGAGTCCCCTCCTTCCTCCATGGTACACCATAGGCCTACATGTACATGCATACACACTCACTCCAAAAACAGCCATGGACTGTAAGAACATAATAAAACCGGTAATGCATGACTACACTACAGAAAGCTCATGAAACATGCAAAAGTTTGTCATTTTGATTATGGAGAAATCAAAAGGGTTTTTAACTTTGCCTGAAATGCGTTGAATGAGTGAATGCTATGGAGGCTTTGAGGTTGACAGTTCTATAGTACTGGGGACCAGAAAGGGACAGTTAAGGCTCTATCCCTTGCCTCTTTGAATGTGCATGAAACGCACAGATTGTTCCTGGAGCAGAGACCTTTTTACACTTGTATGTATACAACTACCTCAGAACAGTTTGGGCAATTAATATATCGGTAAGCTCACCGTTACGACACAGTACATGTAACTGATTCATGTACATGTAAGTCATACTTGTAGACATACGGGCAATTTGGAACTAAGCATGGTACAGTGTACCATACATTTATGTGTATAAAAAGTACCATATACAGTGTACCGGTACGTGTGGATTTTTTGGGGAGGGGAGGGGGAAGACATTTACACATGTATGCAAATTTGTTGAGCTGTAATCATGAAAAAAAAATTTACTGGCTTCAAAATAAAGTGAAATTCTGCCACGTGATTTTATAAAATATGCATACGTGTACAATGTACATGTACACTGTACATGTACATGTATAACAGAAATTGAAGTTATATGTACATGTATATCCTTTCCATGCATTCCGGATATAATTTTCTTGATTTTTTGTAAACGTAAATGGGCTATAAAGGGCTAAATTGTGCAGTTACAAGTACATGTACGTGTACATGCAATGTATACGAGTATACACATGTACCTGTACCAGTGCCGAGAGGTTGTACTGAGCCAGCATACCAGTATACCGATTACCGATACATATTATCCTGGGAGGCAGTTACAGCGCTTGACATGTGAGCCATGCATGTACATGTACATGTACATGTAGCTAGTGTACATGTACATGGATTCGTACAGTACAGTACATGTATGCACATGTACATGTCACAGATTTGACAAGCAGCGTTCCTGACATTTGCTGGCATGCTTTGCAGCTTACGGGATTACCATAGTTTTGTAAAGAAGCCACGAGGCACAGCATATGGTTAGTTAGTTAGTCTGGTCTGTATGGTCTGGTGTAGAGCCATGCTTGTGTTGCCTGGCCTATATCCCCATATATGGACGCAGGAAACCAGTCCGCTGTTTTTCTCAGGTAATAATTAACCACTTTCAGTGAGTCATTCATTTTGTATGCAGCTGTTTTTTTTCTCCCTCACATCATGCCTTTTCAAGCTGCAATCAAATTGGACAAGCCCTCCATATTTGCTTTTGAATTTCAATTTAATAACCAAGTGTAGCCACTTGAAATTATGCATGCAAAAGAGTTCGTGTAAAAATGAAGTTCAAAAATGACACTAGCTTTCCATTAGTTTGTCCAATAACATCCACCCCTGTGTAAAATTCAAACAAATCATTTTTATTGGCACATGTACATACACTGTACATTGTGGAGCATCTTGGACAGCTCCTCAACTAAAGTTCTCTACAGTAGATCTATAGAAAATGGCTTGTACACCTGTGCAGTCGCTTCATGCAATCTGCTGAAATGTATCAGTGCTGTCCAGTGTTAAAAAAGGGAAAAAAAGAAAGATATTTTTGGAAAGATTGTTATTCTCTGAGTGGCTTTGGAGGGCTGGAGCTGTACAGCAAAAGTGTGTGGCTGGTCTTGCTGGATGCACCGTGTTCAGGTGTTAGACTTTGTGCTGTTATATATGCTCAGCCATAATACATTTAAATTCAGGCCTATGGAGTGCAGTGCACTGGATACCGTTTTCACTGCCTCGACTTAACGACAGGAATTGGAGGATTTTGAAGGATTGAGACAGTGGTCGTCCCTCCAAGAAATGAAAAAAACAGAAGAAATAATGGAGGATTGATGCTGTATCCAATTTTTCAATGAGGTTATCGGTAGTTCAAGGATTTTGGAGGACTGAGGATGCGTACTACCGGTAGTACACTGTACATGTACATAGCGGGGGGGGTGCTAAATCTTGTTTGCTCAAATGTTGATCGCATCTTATTGGTATAAAAGCTCATCTTATTGTTCAATTTAAAATAACGCTTGTTTTTAATTGTCCGTTTGGCTCTAGGGCACCCCGTTTAAATTCTATTGGTGCTCATTTTGACTGACACTATTTTTTGCTCCCAACCTAAAAAAACAAGCCTTTTGTCTACAAATCCAGCTAAGAGGACCTTTGCCTGTAAAAAAAACAAAGTAGGATGTGATGAGGAGTGTAAAAAGCATCACTAAAGATATGTGTGCAATACGATTTTGCCCAAACATCAGTGCAGTGACAATTGACATGAATTCCTAGTGTGACATCAATACCAGACCGATTGGTACCGTACTGCACCCAGTGCACTACGTGTAGGTATAAACATATACGGAGTGCCATACATGACATAGGGTTTAACAATGTACATTGTATATCACACTGCTTACACGAACATCCTACTGTGTCTTGACACTGACCCTAACGAGGTACGGGGTGTTGTGTTGAAAACCAATAAAAATATTTCTCTGTGTACCAGTAGCTAGAAACAAAGACGCTCATGGTACTCAATAAAAACAAACTTGTGACAAGTACATGTACTGGTACACATCATGCTCTTTGCCTGATTTATTCAGTCATCACGTTTGGCAGCAGTGTGGATTTTTTGTTTTCAAGAATGTAGGTTTTTTTTTGACTGACCAATCCTTCTTTAATTGAAACAAGACACCTGTACGAGAACCATTTGCATATAAAAGGGTACCCTTACCTTTATTGGACCAATAATTACTTACATTTAAGTACATGTACATGTAAGTTTTCTCTGTTGACTTTCTAAAAAGTAGTTAAAATGGGGGAGCTGGATATTATTTTTAACCAAAAAGTGAGAATACACGCAGCCTTGATAATAATAAAACTGAAAACAAATTACACTGAGACTGTTTGATCACCCTTCCCCCCTCGAGGGCCCTTATGCCAGCTGCGAGTACCCCAACTCAGTTTGCGTGGATCTGTGGTGATTGACTCTCTGGTGGCTAGTTGCCCTGAGATGCACTCTCTACCAGCAGTGGAAGCAAATGAGTCGCTTACAAGATGCAGTTTAGGATTAATATTATTGATTGAGTATTATGTTGCATGTATTGTTCCAGTGAAACAGTCAGATTTATCGGCATATTTAAAATTGGTCTATGTCATTCTGGAAAGAAGACAGAAATGTTTGCATAAACATGAAAACAACATGCTGTGCCATATGAAGCCTTTCACCCAAAGTTTCCTGAAGAGCACCAGGCAAAAAGCATTCAGGACGGTGTCTGTTCAGTCTTACCCATTTCACAACTTAACATGCCTGAGTTCTATGAGTGTAACTGTGAATACATCCCTTGTATTCCAGTGCATGGGGACGCTTTCGCACATACTTTTGAAGGCACACTACATGTACATGTAGTATCACTATGCCTTGAAATTTGTAGAACGACTCGTATTCAAATTAATCTGACCCTTGTAACTGTCACGTCATGTACTGCAGCAAGCATGACTTATTCCTTTGTCAGCAAGCTCAACTTGTAATTCCCTTTGTCCCAGATGATTGTAAATTGTCATAAAGGCCCTGCCCATTGACATTATTCATGTTCACTCGGTTTGTGCATTGTACAACCTGTTCATGTACCTCATCTTGAGTGCCTCAAAGCCAGAAGCAAACGTAAAAGTGAGTTGTCGTTTTGCTTTTTTTTTCAGTGGCAGGGATGACGAAACAAAAGGTGACACTGAAAAGGAAGAAATCCAGTTGACAAATAACGGAGTCCCAGAGGTAAGATATAACGTCCGGGGATGAGATTAGTCAGGATATTTCCTGATTTCAGGAGTTTTCCTCAGGATTTTCCTGATGTTAGGATTTTTTAAACAATCTCTTGAAAGTCCACAGTTTACCATGAAGATATTTTATGTATTAAAAGTGAGATGTACATACAAAAAACACAAGAAGATGTTATTTTAAGGGGTGTCTTGAGGTGAACACAAATATGCCATAGACCTTACTCTAGACCCCTCAAGACCTAAGACCTCTGGTGATTATTTTAGGGATATCTTATTTTCCTCCAATCTCAGCCCCGAATGTCACGTTTATTTTCCTGTCATCGACCTACAAGTACATGCGGAAAGCCACCTAAATGAGTCACAGACCTACATGTACATGTACCAGTTTGTAGTTTGAGAGTGATACATACCTGTACTGCATGTTTGGTTGCACCCTTTAAATCTTGCTCATTTGAAATCAGTAGGAAGGTTGTTTTGCCCAAGTGATGTCTGTACCAACTACAAGTAAGCCAAGTCACAAAACCGTATATCATTTGAATGAAGGATTTGCATTGTTCTTGCTTATCCGTATCCAAAACAGTTACAGGGGATGTAAAGACTCAATTCATGGAATCCAACTACATGTACACTGTACATTCATTCCATCCAGCTGCCTGCATCTGTGTTATTTGTAGTGCTGTTTTTACCTACATGCAAAACTTTTGCCCTCTCTTTTTCCGGTCTTCAGGCAAAGTCAGTGCCTGAAGTACTGAATCATTTTGTGCATGACAACTTGTTAGAGCTCAAAATATCTGACCTGAGTGCACAAATTTAAGTGCCTGTCTACCTGTACTGGAACGGAACTAGTGCATGCCATCTTGGACGACCATTGACAGCTTTGAGTGCCATGATGACACTACTGATGGCCCCCCTTGAATGGTGGAAAGCATGGTGTTTCAGTGGTTCCGTACAGCACAATATGTACCGGTCGCTGTCACAATGCTTGTACAGCCATTGAAGAAGGCCCTTGCAAATAACCGTTGATGGCATTGTAAACCATGGTCACCAGAGTCCTCTAAATTGGAGCTACATGTACATGTACATGTAGCCCTCTGAAGTGATCCGAGTTTTTATTTTCTTGAGGTTGAGTGGAAGAACAAAAGGAATACTCAGTAGATCAACAATGGAGGCTACTCAGTACTGTACCTGTAGTTACCGTTACATGTACATGTACTACACAGGCACGTGTACCGGTACATCAATGTTTGATGACACCTTATCCATAAGATCCTTGACAGCTGCAGCAATGTATCTTATTTATGTATTAGGCCTATAGTCTGGGCTAAACATCAATACAAATGTAACTCTGTGTCAGTTCAGAATTTAATGAAAGGTCACTTTTAAATTTGCAACTAAACTTCCCCATGACAACATTGAGAGATTCTGCACAATAGTAGTTGCCATGGTACCGGTACCTTCAGAATGAGGCTATTATGGTGCTGTATTGTCTTTTTGGGGTGCATGGCATTTCAGTTGAAAACAATGGATGCCAAATGAATTCATGCTTAGCCAATCATGCAACAGTTCAATTTGTTACTACATGTATAAGGTGGTATAATGCTTCCTATCATGCCTATACCACGTACTGTATACATGTACATGTAGAATAGAAGTGACCCAAATGCACTGCAGGTGCATGTAGCACTTCTTCATTGTAGTAAATTTATAAATGTATACATGTACAGGCACGTATACCCATTACCAGTATGTTCAACTCAAATTCTATGCGGTATACATGTACGTGTACATGTACATTGCCAAATAGTCATTGAGATTGTCTTAATTAGGCTAGTTTCATGGTTTTTAAGTACAAAGATGTGATTAGCAGTGGCACGAGAAAAATTTTCTCAGCAGAAAGAGGTTACGATGCAAAAACTCATGTGATAATGTTCATTGCTACGGCTGGTTCCCAGCTGAATTTTTGCTTTAGCACATAAATTTGTCAAGCAACATTCCTGTTGTGCAACTTCTTTAAAGTGAACCCTGATGTTCATCTTTATGACAACTTTTGCTTTCAGTTAAGTCTCCATGCAGTGAAAGCAACTCGGGAGCGTGTACTGGTCTTGGAAGAATTCCAAGAGCAGTGTACTGATACATGTACAAATACACGCAAACCTAGTTTTTGGACAAGGGCCGACTTTAACCACTTGCTGCCGGTGGTTTGAAAAATGCAGTGCACATAATCGGGACTTTTTCAAGATTTTCAGTTTTCAAAATTCTTCAAAAATTCATCATTTCAAATAATGGACGGTTACACCCACACGAATTACTGTCTGCTGGCCACTCTAGTCAGACAGATAAAATCTATTGACGCCCGAGTATTTCAGCCAGGCCAGCAACCTTGTAAAAAGAGCCCAGATTGTGTGGTGTTTTGTTCACGAACCTGGCACAGTGCGCTGCTGACCTCTTCTCAATAGGGGCCAGATTAGCGTGCAGCGGTGCTACATGTACATGTATGTGGCTCATTGCTGCGGTGGTGGAGCGTTTTTGTCCTCGGTGGTAGTCCGCTCACACTAAATGCCCCAAACCGTGGTACTGTTTCAAAACAAGGCTGGATTATCTCCACTATTGAAAGTGAAAAATGTCGGTAGTGCCCAGCAGCCTGGTCATTTGTTCCGAGTAGGGCCTTTTGTTGCCCAGTTCCCGTTGTCCGATTTCGGAGACCCTGGTCATGCGTATAAACACACGGTGCCCGAAACCGGTGTCCCCGGCGGCAAGTGGTTTAACAGAGCTGCCAGTAAAGTACATGTATAGTACTTTGAATTGATTTCAATTGAGAAGTAAACACAATAGCCACCTGTGGCATATCTTCTGGGGCAATGGATAATGGGCTCCTACATAACAAAGGTGCCATGAAGGAACGCATCGTACCGGTATAATTGAGCCAGTTCGTCATCAATTTTTTAAAAAGCAAGATCATTCAGGAATTCAAAGTGTGCGTACAAGTCTCTGTACGGCTGGGCTAATACATGTACATGTAGCTTAGACCTACATGTAGCTGACCTCGGATGTGCTTCATTTTGAGCACGTGCTGTGGAACTGGTTACTTGAAGCTTTTGTGGACGCTCTCAGGCTCTTTTGTATTGGTACTACACTGTATGTACATTGTAGGCCCATGTGAATCACTTTGGCTAATACATGTACATTGTACAGGTACATTGTACATGTACATGTATGTACCTACATGTAGTGTGGGCCAGTGAACAAAAGAGGTCCACATACATGTAATGCGTATCGTACAAACCCTGTGCGGACTACACTGGGTCCAAACCCTGTGTAGTCTACATGTAAGGCGGGTTAACGTGATTGACTTGCTCAAATGCAGCCCAAGTTTTTCTTATTTGAAAATTTGTTTTGAGACTTCTTTTTTTACAAATGTAGGAGTATTTGAACACTTCACAATAACCCATTTAAACATAATGACCAATTGCTTGATCATGTACAGAGTCCCTCACCAGAAGCCTTAACGGCTCCAGACTCGGAGACAGCACTGACTGTCTCAGCTAACAATGCTCGGAAGATGCGCTCGGCTAGTGTCCAGTCAGCATCCTCCAGCCCAGGCCACTCAGACGATCCACTCACCCGGTGCTCCACGTGTGAGCGCAGGCTACCCGAACTCCCCCCCACCCCCATGCCGCCAGTCACGCCCACCAATGAGGACGAGGAGGATGACTGTAATCGGATGTACGACGTTATAGGTGAGACCAAGAATTCCCCAGCCAGCCCGACCAATGAGGATGGCAAGAAGGAAAATACAGACGACGAAGTGGAAGATGATCAATATGCCTCTGTTACCAATAATGCCGCTCTCAATCAGGCACGTGGACCCCAAACCGAACTGGCAGAAGATACTGACTATAACAGTATCGGAAGTGGAAACGTCCGCAAAACAGACGTGGAAGAGGGCGATGACCCATACACCAGTGTGGTCGTGGGAGGGGACACCAAAGAGGTGGAGACCAAGGACGACAAGGAGGGCTACTCGCGACTTCGCAGCATCCAGAAGCGTCCGGGGAGAGATGACTCATCAGAAGCCAGGGAGAAGGATGGCTATGCCCGCCTGAGGGACATCACTTTGGGCAGTGCTACAGTGGATGGGGCAGTGGGTGGGGCAGTGGGTGGGGCAATAGGCGGGGCAGTAGGCATGGTTAAAGATGATGATGAAGAGGTGCCACCTGTTCCGTACAAACCACCTGACCTCCAGAACGAGGAGGACGAAGAACCAAACTCAACAATTCCAAGGTCAGTTACATATATACATGTACATGTAACTCACTACCTGCTGTGTATTCTCAATAACTATAGTACCTTTCCAAAAGGAAAAAACTATGTGCCTGGCATGGGCATTGGCAGGGGGGATCTTTGTTCCCTTTCCTTGAAAAAAAAAAATAGAAAACAAGTGGAGAAAGCAAAAGTTATAAAAAGTAGAGATGAAAATCTCCAATTCGCTTGAGAACAAACCTCAAAACTGACCCTGTCCGGCTGTTGTTTATTTTCCTAGCCGACAAGCTTCGTCCTTCCAGAAATCTCCCTGTCCCCCCCCCAAAAAAGTTGTTTGTTCCTGGAAAAATCCTGACAATGCCCATGATACCTGGTTGGGTGTAAAATGGCTGAAGTTCCAATTTCATTAAAATGCTGGATTAAAGTATATCGTCGCAGTGGATCTCTGAAGATTGGGGAAGTTGGAGAGGAAAAATGGTTTAATAAGAAAGAGTAAAGGCAGAGTAATAGTCACTGGATTGTTTTTGGAATAGGACTCCAAGTGTTGGCACAGCAGGTGCTTCAGCTGCAGTTGGTGCTGTAGCTAACAGTGACGGAAATGCTGCAGCACCAGCAAAGAAGAGAGAGCCGCCATATACACAGGTAGGCGGACAGGCATGCCTGGTAAATGATAGTGGGACTGTTTACAGTAAGAGAGAGATGGCAGAAACATACGGTAATAGGCCTCAAGCTAGACCAGGAGAGGGTGCAGTTGTCCTAGCAAGGGAGGGGTCCTTTGGTAGTAACTGTGCACTGCTGGTTCACAAACGATTATGAATCGCAAGCATTGAAGTTGCATCGCTACCAACAAATTGAACACTCCTGACCAGCATGGCTCTTCTAAACCGAGGGGGGTACATGTACATGTACTTCTGCTCATGTGGATGAATCACTTAGTGGCTGGTTCTTGTACATGGCACCAAAGTGAACGTAACATTGACATTAGATCAAATATTTGTGCTGTTTACCTGTATTTGCAAGAGTTGAACACATTTCAACTCAAGTGGATTTTGCTGCAAAGGGTTCTGTGATGTCAAATTTGCTTTGCTTTTCTTTTTGCCTCTACTGCAATGTACTTGTATGAACGAGGCTTTAGAGAGAAGTTAACTACAGACCCCCCGTACTTACATGTACATGTACTTGTACTTGTACATGTACATGTACAAGTACATGTAGGTGAGCTGAAGGACGTTGTTGCTAATACATGTAGATACTTTGATGAATGCAGGACAGACATAGAAATAAATAGAAACCTTATGAAGGGGAACCACGTGAGAGAGAACCAGTGACCACCCCTGTACACAGGAAGGGCAATGGATATGGTGTGACAGTTTTGGCTGGTAACCAGATGTGCTGAGCAATATTCTCTTTGCTTAGCAGTTCAGTCAAAGTGGCCGCTGTTCTTAAACGATTGCATGAGGTCAGGTCTCCTGTGTCTACTTCTGCCTCCTCTCAGGTGTCAGCCAGAGAGAGTCTGGAGGTGGTTCGCGCCCGGCAGCAGGCTGAGCAGAATGCCCGCATTGCTGCCCATTACCAGACCATTGAAGAAGACCAGAGCCTAGACGCCGACCATGACGGCATCTACGAACCTGTGGATGATCAGCAGCTGGATGGCCAATTGGTGATGTCCCCTCCACCTCTTCCTAGTGACCGACAGGTAATTAGCCATGCCCCTTTCTTATTTACACTGTGCATCTCAAGACTTGGCAACATGGGCAATTCACAACACAGTGCGCCACCTAGAGGTTGCCACTGAAAGGCCATTATTCACAGTGCATTGTGGGAAATGGTTGACAATTCTTTTCGTCGGCTACATGCAGCTTACTGGTACTGAAATTATTCTCAGTATATTTTTGTCAGGGAAGAAGGTTATGACGTTTATTTGAGTAGCATTTTTAATTATTATACTGTCCTCTTCATATGGAATGTCCCAATCTATAAAAAAATTTCCCAAGTTGTCTACTGATGTAAGGCAATCATGCTTTTGTTGACAGGAAACTGGGAAAATGGTCTCCCCATGGCAACCTCCTGGTAGCGCACTGTATTGTGAATTTCCCTATTCTCTGCAAAAGTGAAATTGTTCACGCTAACTGGGCACATTAGTAAGATTGTGTTTCCTAACCAAACACAAGTTTTCAAAAATAACGAGAAATGAACAGAAATAATAGATCATGCCTTGACTTTGTACTTCCGTTTTTGTTTAACAGGGAAGCTTCTTTTCATTATCGATTTTGGATTATGAGTTCGGTGATAGTGTAGTTAGTTTCCACGTTTACATGGGGTTTCCTAGCTGCTTTGTTTCAGTGATGGTGTATACATGTATTTGTGCATAATTAAAAGGCAGCAGCAACAGGAAAACAAAAGAATGGAAAAGTACACAGAAGTACAACTCTAAACAGTTGCATCAAAAAAAGTCAACTTTTTTGGGGTCCCCCCCACAAATTCCCTCTCCCCTTGAAATTGGGTTCTGACCTGCCAATGGCTGGTCTCTGTGGTCAGGTAGTGGGTTCTGACCTGCCAATGGCTGGTCTCTGTGGTCAGGTAGTGGGTTCTGACCTGCCAATGGCTGGTCTCTGTGGTCAGGTAGTGGGTTCTGACCTGCCAATGGCTGGTCTCTGTGGTCAGGTAGTGGGTTCTGACCTGCCAATGGCTGGTCTCTGTAGTCCAGAGTCTTTAAAGCAAAGCAAGACAAGCTGGAACAAAATGTGACCCAGTACATCGAAATCGGGAATAAGTCGCAAATTGAGTTTTTGAAATATATACATGGTCAGAAAGAGAATTTCACAACCGTTCAAATAGTGCACATTACAAGTGTGTCGATGGAAACCTTTCATACATACACTTCCAAAATAAACAGAAACCGCTACATCGATTTTTCAACATTTACCCACATCTCCACTTTACTCGGCTTTGACGTAAAACGGCCTCATGGGCTTATTCCTGAGTACGATGTACCGGGTCACAAATATCAATTTTTAAGGACAGCAAAGGCTGCATCTGAACTACTTGGGTGTGGCTTGCAATCACACAGGAGTCTGTGGTCGTGGCAGCAGCCGTACCCCTGGAAGTTGTGTACACCTACATGTATATGTATGTTGTGTAAATTTAAGCCACGTCCAAGTTACATGTATTTAGAATTGGCCCAACAGAGAGCCGATTTTGCGAAGCTGCAAAGAGGGAAAATTTCTTAATTACAGAAAAAGTTTTTCTGAAAGCAGAAATCACCTTTCCAGAAGTTGTAGTGCACATGTACATGTATATTGCTTGTGATCTGATTATTGGCTCAGGTGGGAACCTGGTTCTTACAAAGATAGATTGCATGGTACAGATGCAGAAGATGAACTACATGTATTACATAATGAACAAATTCCATTTTTGGCGTTTTTGTCGTGCCGGTACATTTAACGGTATACAGTACTACGTGTACAGTATATGTGGTTAATTTCCTTTGCACAAGAGTTTGTTTCCATGAAGGTTTGTCAAATGATGTTGAAACAGATTGTGTCTCTCGGTGCTTTCTGTATAGGTTGGGTTACAGTCATGTTTGAATTGACTCAAAAAAAAAAAGTGCAGTATGGTGAAAGAGGTTTCACCTCAGTGGAAGAAATGAAAGTGACAACATTACAGAAAGACTTTGTTTATCTTGTGTGGAGGAAATGTTTGCCATGGCTGCTGTTGATTTGCCGACCCTTGTTACCTCCTGGGTATCAAAGAGGAAGTTTGAATGTTTTTGCAGCCAAACAAGGAAGTAATACTTGGTGCTGGAACAATGTACGTAAAGGGTGGAGGGTCTTTCCTGCCTGCGTGAAAATGGAACTGTGCTCATGCTGAGTTGATTACGGTAGTTTCATATGGACTTGTTCCAATTAAAATGGAATTGTGTAGTAAGTTTGTAGTGGTCATGTTAAGTATTTTTCTCACCAAGTGGCGAAACACAAACTGTACATGTACTCTACCGTATGTAAGCACGTGATTTCGTTTTCATTTTGAAAATGTTGCACTGTGCCATTTGGCTTTCATATTGTAGCACAGAAGTTCAGCATCCATGTACATGTACGTGACCGTATCGTAGGACACCATGCTTTAATACGTACAGTACATGTACGTGTTCACTTGCAATGCTGAAAAAGTTATTAGATTTTCCCTCTTACATGTATGTGTGATCTTTAACCCTCCAAATTAAGGTTCTACTTGAATGCTTCTGCCCACTGAATGAACTCACAGACATCAAAAAACCTTTGAAGCGTAAATTCTGTGTGAGAAAAGCTAAGCCCCTACTTCAAAATTCCACATACATGTACATGTAATGTTTTGTGTGGTAGATTCTATACAAAATGTTTTGGGTGATAGACTCCATACAAGCAGTTGGAGCTCCTCCCAAGCTCCTCTGCTCACCAGAAGTGCCCCATTTGTCCCATCAGAACACTGATGTGAAGTCTTTCAATCATGGCCTGGTTTGGCCCCTTCAACAGCTACAGGGGTTTGAAGAATGAAAACAGTGCTGTGAAGAATTGAACTTCCTGTATATGAACATGATAATGGTTTCCCATAGACAACCAGATGATTTCATTCAAGAAATGGAAACAAAATTAATCCTACATCAATGAGTTATACGTGTATATACATTTGTCGACTCATGAATATTTATGGGACTTCTGTATCTCTGTATTCCAAGTTTTCTCATACGTACCGGTACATCAGCGTCTAGTGTTACCTCTCAATCCATTCTGTCGTGGAGGAATGTTGAAAGAAAAAAACCAAGATACTTGTATTGTCCACTTTCGGTCAAAGGTAAAGTACCGGTAGAGGAAGAAACCACTTTTCTCATCTGTACATTTGGCAGCAAGCTGGAACAAAATTTCATTTAAAAAAAAGTCTGGTTCTACTCTGGAGGCTGCTTGCATACATGTATACAATGGTTAAACAGATATTTGATGGTAGGCAATGGCAAGTGTACTGAATTCAGCACAGTATCTAAATGTTTATTTTATTTTATTTGTAAAAAAGTATGAAAATATTTCATTTTTTTTTGAAAGAACACTCTACATGTACCGGTACATTTACATGTAATATCAAGCAAGGATAGTCTTAAAGTCTTGTAGTTGTCTGATCAGTATTACAAGGAATCTAATTTCCTTTGAGTGGTGAAGTCGTTCTCATTTTCCACCCGTGATTCATCTTAACAAACAACTTCCTGTTTGTGAATTCCTGGTGTACGTGTAGGCCGAAGGTCTTTCCTTAAACCAAACAACAAATTGGATTCCTTCTCAGAGGTTCTCACACACGACCTGAGTTGATCTCGAACCTGGGAAAATTTGGAGTTTTGGGGGGTTTTGGAAGCGGTTGTGGATATATTATGAGTATCATTGATTAATGGCATAAACAAACCAAAAGGAGGCCAGTAAATTACCATCATGTCAGCATGTAGTGTTTCATTGCTTGTTTTACATTGTAGCCAAATCTTGATCACTCCACAACCTGTTCCTCATCATGTGCATCAGTATGGAGGCTAGAATGGGATTGATCTGAAGCTCTAGTGATTTCTGTTTCAAAATAAAAATCAATGCCCGTTTTAATGTCAAAACTGACAGATGAATATTTTGTTCTGGCCATCTGTAAGAAATTAAAAATGTTCTTCTGTTTCATTCAAACTGCAGCTTACATGCAAATGTAACATGTCTCTGGATACATGTATTCAAACACAGAAGTTTATGTCCATTGGCAAACACTGCAAACATGACCAATTACTGTGGTCTTTGTCATATCCACCTTGAGCAACAGCGCCCCCCTCGTCCGCTGAGAAGAGCCATGTTGAGTGGGAGTGTTCAGCTTGCTGGTAGTGATGCGACCGTAACTCCTGCATTTCGTAGTCGTTCCTGAACCAGTGAAGTGCCGGTCTGACCAAAGCAGCCTCTGTTGGGAATTGCACCCTCACTTGGTCCATCAGCCCGGGGTTCTAAGTCTTTGCAAAAGAAGTTCCTTTGAACCTTTAGAAGCATAACACATCTGATGTTCTGCCGTATTTTGGTGAATTCAGTACTACATGGAGGCTACAATGTATGTACAGTGCATGTACCGGTTTGTGTAACAGCCAACCAATCAGGTGACTCCATGTTGCTAAATGTCGTATCGATTCCAAACCGACTGCAGAATCTGAGCTGTGACCCTATGCTATTGAAAAAAGGGGCAGGATCCTGTGCCTTCCAAGATCTGATTCCAAATTTATGCTCAACATCAAAATTCCCGGTTAATGTTACCCAGGGGTACATGTACCGGTACATGTACATGTATGCAAATACATGTAAACTATGCTTTTGTGAAGAATTGTACATGTAGCTCTTGGTAACCTCACATACTGTACATGTACCATACAGGTACATTTGCATAGTACACACACTGGTATGGAAGTGCTGTATTTTGTACATGAATCCTCTTTTTAAAATTGTTTTTATACTGGATAAATTCAGGAAGTTCACCTCGGAATGGATTATTATCGTGACCGATGGTTAGAATTGGGATCAATTTCAAAACGTTGGATTTCCCCTTTGAGCTTGATTTATACGAAATGAAGTAACAGGTTTGACTCATGACTATCTGAACCATAATAATGTCGCCATCAAGGGCCAGAGGATGTAAGGTTTCTTAACCCTCCTGATGCAAAGACACATTCTCGACACAGTTGTCCTATCAGTCAAAACCATTCAAATCTCCCATACATGTGTGTCTGTGTACTAGGAGAAATCAAGTGGATGGATTTTTTGACTGTTTTTGAGGGTTAAGCAAAAGGAGGGTCAAAAGAAAGAATCTTGACATTGGTTTCTGTACTGAGCCAAAAGTGACATTCACAAGCAGTAAACATACATGTAGATTGGCTTGAAGTTTTTGGCTGGGAACCTGTCTCGGCTTACTAGCATTTACACTTCCTGTGCATAGAAAATTTGTGAAAGTATAGCCTCAGGTTTGTTGAATTTTAACTTGAAAGTTTTTTCTGGGGGGGGGGAAACTCTCCAACAAATTATTCAGTGCGTGCAGAATTTGTTCTGTGCATGTATGCATGTATGTATGTGTACTATATTTTTACAGTCTAAATTGATTTCGTGGACTATCTTCATCTTTTTTGTTGCTATGCAGGGCTCTTCTAATGGACCCATACATGCAGCAAGCAATAGTTGGCAGGTTCCAAGAGCACCACGTGTCTATGAAGAAATCACTGATGAGACCAGGCCTAGACCGCCCAATGTTTTAGCAGGAGCTGCAAACCCACAAGGAGGTCAGGTCAAACTCTCGTTTAAAATAGTTTAGAGTTAAGTGCAATGTCATTTTGAGTCAGGAAGTGAGTGCAAACGAACGGAGTATGTGGGCATGTTTGTTCGTGTGTTGGTTCTCGCGTTAATGCCTTTTAAAGAGCAACCTCAACAATGGAATGAAATAAGACATCTGGCTGTAGTATATTTACTTGGATCCCGTCATAGACATCTATGCCAGATAAACCTGGGTTCAGCAATATTTTTGGTTAAAAAACTCACTTTTGAGACCCGTTGCTGCCGATCGCCATGACTAACTTTCGTGAAAGGTTGCTCTTTAAGGCTTTTTAGGGGGCATGTTTGTAGCTTCTGATCAGAGGGTCGGAGGTTCCAATCCAGCTGGTGGCAGCATGTTCCGACCTTTCGTTTTACCCCTATGTGCCTAATAAGGCTGCATCAGCAGGTGTACTCCACAGGGAGCTGAGACGGTTTCAGGAATGTTCAGTTGTTGTGAGCCCAATGTGCAGGGTAGTAAAAATAATAATAAGGGGATGTGCAGGTTGTGATGTGAGATCCTTGCTGCATAGAAACAGAACCATTTTAAGGTTGGCCGTACCAATGGACTCGGAAACGGTGGTCGGAGTGATGAACTGACACTTTCCAAGTTGTCAGTGTTTCTGTACCATAACCGAAAATGAGTCTTGACAATCTCAGGAATGACACAGCTGAGCCCTTAAGTGTGGCCAGGAATGTGCCTAATAGCTGGAAGACATTGACAACAAAAGACCCTGTCCATAAAACAATGGTCCATGCAGCTCAGTGATTGTGAAAGCACTATGCAGACTAATCTGATTAGATGCCATACATGTCCCAGTACATGTGGTGGCATTGCACTCATGCGCACATTCTTCAGCTTGACGTGCAATGTGCATACAGATCACGATACCTAATTTGGTCAAAGAGGAGTGTAATGTGGACGTACTACCTACCCACGAGCGATTTGTGCCGCTGCAGTAACGCCTGCTAATAAGCCAGTTTGTAATTGCAAACTGCACGTGCGCGAATGAACTTTTGCAATGAACATTTGTACATAAAACGAATTGATTTACGTGTGCATGTAGCTTGTGTGTGCGCAAATGGGCTGCTATTGATAGGGACGATTGTCTAAAAAATTGCTGAAATAGGGAAGATGCTGAAGATGAAATAAGGAAAATCAAGAACAGAATGAACATTCTATTAACCTACAATCCGGTACAGTCATTTAAAAAAAAATAATACTGAATAGTGTCCCAAAATAATTCATAATATTCAAGTGTACTTTTCTACAACTTTTACGAAAAGGAAATACAAATGTCACTTCGGTAATTTTCCCCTGTGGGGCCTTATTAGCTCTCAGAGAGAAATAATACGTACATGGATGTCCTAAAAAGTCACATTTACAGGTCCAATGTACATGTAGCAGCGGGAAAATCAAAGCATTTCCTCTGAAAACACAATTTTTCGGACCAGCGTCATAAGGTTTGTGCACAGGGTGTCAGATATACATGTATATGTATATGGAACGCACTCCAGGAAATCAGTACGGAAAGCAGTGTCAAAGATATAATGAAACTGAAAATGGAAGAAAACGGAAATTTTGAATACGGTAAATTATCAGCTGATTTCATACAAATTAAGGTTAGTTAGGCCTATTAAAGTGTTGATTAATCCAACTACAGCATGTGGAATATGTTTTTGTTCCTTAAAACCTCTTTCACCACAGACGAATGTCATCAATTGAAACATCCTGCTTGCATCCATCCATGGTAAAGATTTAACCAAATCCTGAGAAGACTTGAAAAACTAAGCTGAATCGCATACGTACATGTAACATTCATTACACAAAGGAATGTCACAGAAGGACGCCCACTCAGGACGCACGGTGAAGCGATTCGTTTTATGTACAATGACCCTTGCCCTACTTTCCAGTGCAGCGTACATGCGGTAATTACGAACTGTCTTATTCTGTTTGTCAAATTGCTGGGTTTTGGGGTTCCGGGTTCATCTCCTTCACTCATGGAATTTTCCGTCTTTAATTTGACAATTCTTCATTATCTGTTTTGATATTTCAGCAAGTAATGAAGACATTGAGCCCTATGCTGTCACTGAGAAGAGAGCAAACCCTGCCGAGGCTCCGATGTATACCGTTGTAGACAAGAAATCCAAAGCTAACTACGCAAAGGTCAACAAGGCCAACAAGAGCCCCCAGGATCAGGCCAACAACAATGCACGGACTGAAGCCAGGGCATCAGACCCGGGGTCGCCCCCACCGACCAATGAGGAGGGTGACCTACCACTGTATGCTGTGGTGGACAAGAAGAGCAAAGGTCAGGGGTCAAAGTCCCCTGGGAATGAGGACACCGCCCAGTTTACCTGGGACATGGCTTTATCGAAGCAGGCAGAAGTGGAGGACAACTACCAGGCCATGGATGAGGAGGACAACTACCAGTCCGTCGGCGACGCAACGGGAAGCAGCAGTGCCGGCGCCGCGGCCATCGCCGGGGGGATGGTCCACGTCAGTGGGCACGAAGCCAGCAAAGACCTGTGGACCAAGAAGGAGCACATGTACATCGACGTGGAGACCACCCAACCCAGCAAGCTGGCTGAAACCAACCACAAGGCGGGGGAGAGCCAGCGGGGCAACCACAGCTACGAGTCGGTGGAAGTGGTCCCGCCCAGCAAGACCGTCAGCAAAAAGGAGAAGCAGAAACAGGCCAAGAAGGCCAAGAAAGAGGCCAAGAAGGAGCGGAAAATGTCAAAGAGCTCCAAGCACACCAAAGACAAGGAGAAGGACAAAGGGGGAGCCGCAGCGGGACCCTCCGGGGAAGACACAGTTTGGCAGCGGCAGGACTCGCAAGAAGCCAACGGGAATGGTAACAACAACATCAACCAGTTTGACGACTATGAAAATGTCTCCTTCCCCCTCCAAGAAACCAGGCTGTAGAAGTCACATTTCAGGAGAATTCCCCTCCATGAAATCAGCATCTCATCGACAGTTTATTTTCTTGCCAATTTTCCCCCCCCCCAAAGAAATGCGGTAACAAAGCTTGAGTACCAGCGTTGGACACATCAGGTTGGACACTTTAACTGCGCCTACATGTACACGTTTGCACATGTACGTGATAATGTGTGACCACCAGCTATTACAGCATTGTTGGCCAAAACTGTAGTGTCCCACAAGTGCCACAAGCAAGTGCATGCATCATATGTTTCAGTTATTTTGTTTTAATATGGGAAATATTGTTTACTGTTATACTTTTTGAACGGAAATAGTTTGCAAATTTGTTTGATGAGGCTCAGTGTTCCCTTTTTTAACCATGCTGAGCCTGAGATATCTCCACAGTCGGAAAGGGAAGCCCAAGGCAGTTACTGAGCCTAGGTTAAGCGAATGGCACAGACATTTGTATCGACACATCTGGGGATCTGACTACTGCACACCGAGAAGGCCCCCGGTGATGGTGGAACCATTGTGCTAGTTGTGGCTCAGAATAGAATGGTACTTTATACAGTTGTGTCTGAGCTACAGGTAAAGCTGTCACAGAGTGTGTGCCATTACTGGAGACCTTCCCGGAGTGTCACAGCAGTCTTTACATGTGTGCGCTGCCCTCATTTGACCAATGACAGAAAATAGTCTTTTGACTTAACTACTAGTGTGAGGTTGTTGCATTTCATGTGAAAAGTTAACTTAAATGCAGCACAGAGGATGTATATAATCTGTTGGTGGGGCGTAAGGCGTGCTGTTGAAGTTCTTTCATGACTTTTAGGAAGGCCAATTTGAAATAATTTGGGCAAACAGATTTTACTCAGACATGATTAGTTATCAGTTTGATAATAGTGGTTTTTATATATTTGATCTGCCCAATGTACATAGGAAAAAGTATATATTTTATGACGATTTTTAGCTTGTATAACGCAATATGGAATAGTGACTCACTAAAGGTAGTTAGAAATTAAGGATTTCTTAAGATTGAGATTGTATTCCAGAAGAAGTATAAAAGTAGCCAAAAGTTGAGAACAAGTCATTTGCTACATGTACGTGAATAATGCTTAGTGGCCTGCTTAGTGTTTTCTATCACGTCTGCACATTTATCAAGGGTTGACTACTGCAATGCAGAACATGGCATTTGTTACATCCCGGGGGTGACATGGGAGTGGAGATGTGGTTGATGGTGTCAATGTGACCTCCCGAAGAGGGTAAAAACACATTCCATGTCTCAAGCAGCCAACAACTTTTGTTTCTTTCATAGGGTCTGTGAGTCAAAAAGATCAAGGTTTGGACTGAGTCTGCAATAAACAAATTTGTTTAATATCATGACCTTTGGTTAATGACTGTGACCTCTTCTGCCAAAATAACCTCAAAACTCAGTGCCTGCCTGACCAGTGTCAGTTTGGGTGTGAATTAGATACATGTATAAAGCAGCACGTGAGGGACCTTTTTAGTGACTAGGTATGTGGCCATGCTAGACCAATGAAATTATTGTATCCTACATGTAATGTAAACGTGTATCGGTATGTTTAGCAATGAAACTCGGCAGACTATAATAGATGGTTACTACCTTGAACGGCTTTGGATATGCTTGACACCAGCCACCTGCAGCATTGACATGGACTGATACCTGTCAGCTACTCACACTGTATGGACCGTGACGATGAAAAAACTTGCTTTGAAGTATTTTTAGCCAACAGCGTCTGTAATCCAGAAGATTCCACCCTTTAATTTTCGTAGAAAACATGCAAATGAGTTGCTGTACTAGACACTATTCATATTTTGACTTGCAGAAGACATACAAGCAGATCACCTCCAAATTGTTGATTGAGTGATATTTTAAATAGGTTTTTAGGTTTAATTGTTGGATGTGTGATGTTAAATAGTGATATGATAGTTGCAATTGATATATTTCTCCTGTGGTGGTCAGGTGGATGTGTTTCTTGCAAACATTTGGGAGATCTAACAATCTATACATGCCTTTTTGAAGTTACAAGTACGGTATAATTTAATCACACCAGTAGTAAGAATAAGCATTTACCTAAACCCTCCCAGATCCTACGAAATCCATAAGGATGTTTAGGATGTAAGTTGATGAGCTTGGCAGCATTGATGAAGCTACAGCCCAGCCAGTGTTGCTGTACATGAGGCTTGATGAAACCTTTGTCAGTTCAAGCTAATGTCCAAAGCCTCCACCATGAAGCTCTTGCTCAGTGGTAGGCTTGGCTCAAGACCTGGCACTGAATCTTTTCCCCAAACGCACACACAGTTATCCCAGTGGGAATCTACAACTTCTTAACCGTATTGTTGCCAGAGGGTATTATCACAAAGCTGAGCTAAACCAGGTTCCTGATAGCATCCTCTATCAATGGTATGTTTCGATTTTGTAAGAACAGGTCACATGGGAGACTTGCATTTGTGTTGACTCAAATTTCGTGTCTTCATACAGTATTTTTCTTTTTGTACATAGCCATGTTTTGTAAATACTTGAATGTTTTCTTCATGCATACTTTCAACCACCATTGTTAAACAGAAATTGTGTAAGAGTTTATGTTTTAAGTTTTTATTGCCAAATGCTTATAAATATTCAATTACTTAAGCAAATATATTCTAATTTCTGTATCTTAATTGAATCAGATGTGGGTACCTGTTTTTAATATTGCTGCTGGATCAAATGAGAACTTAACAAGAAAGTGTTAAAGATGTACTTTGTTTAGTTTTAGGGTACAGTTTTTATGTGTTTAGACAAACAGATCATTAAGTGTTGAGCAGTTTATAGAAATCGTTTCAAAACTCCACAAATGATTCTCTGAATTCTTTCCTTGCACATTTTGTGTGCTTTGTTCCATACTGTATATTTGCAATTTTACTCACCAGTCATTACTTCCAATGAGTGAAAATTCACTTTGACAGAAACATGGACAAAATGATTAGAGCAAGATTCTTTGCATGGGTGGAGTTCGCACCTTAGTTTCCAGTCTCATGATTTTCTTTTTGGCTGTCTGCAAAAAGGTGTTAGTTTAATTAAACTCAAAATCATGGCATCTTGTTGTGCCAGCGAGGGATAGAGTTGGAATTTCACTCTTTGGAAATCAAACCTTTTTTGTGAAATGTGATATTTATTATGAATTTCAAAGAGTTTGATGGAACTGCTCAGCCACCGCACTGTCAAAATTTGCTTCAAGAATTGGCTGAAAGCCTCTTTGTGGTCCGTTGAGTCATTGTGCCATGCACCCATAAAATCTGAAAGATTTAAACAGGTTCATGTGCATGGTTATTGACCAGCCTGGCCTGGCAGAAAATGTGGTTTGATAGATTGGTCAGGTATTCAGGAGACCTTTTACTGTAACTAAGCCGTGCCCACTGTACTTAAGAGTGACAACACTTGCCATGCTCCAGCGTGTCGGATTGGTTGCACTGCTCTGAATCCCTCTAACATCACAGGGCAGTGCCTACATGGTTGGTGTCTCGTCAGGGGATCCAGAACTTTTATTCATTCATCTAGCAAAAGGTCCTCATAAGTGAAGAAGAGAATGAAGAAATATATTGTGTCCAGACCAACGGTGTTACAAGATCAGGCTCAGAGGCCGTGGCCTGGACCAGTTTCCATGTTGCTGCTGAGCAAATCCGTTTCTTAGAAGCAGGTAAAAGTCGGCTGAGAGCCATGCAGCACCACGAGTAACGTGCATCACTTTGTAGTTTGATCAGTAACTCGTTCTGGCTTTGCTGCTTGATATCTGCACTTGCAGTGTTTCTGTGACAGTTGAACTCCCTGAAATATTCAGTGGTCAACCCCTCCACCAAAAAGCCGTGTTTGAGTCAACTGGCTACGTCTGGGAGTAATGCATGCATCTATGGAATGTGACATCAGCCACAAGCCAGTGGCTTTCATAGACGTGCATGTTATTCCCAGCCGTAGCCACGTCTGCTCGCCACAGACCTCTCTAATTATCAATTTGCTGGGAAATTGACTATTAGAAGAAAAGAAAATCATTGCCCTCATTAGAATTTAAAAGCAGCTCCATCAAACTGGTGCTATGTCAATGTTGGTTTTATGTACAGAGCAATTTTAAGTGGCCTACCAGCCAGACGGTTTGTGAAGTAATTGTGTTCCATCTTGGCTGGCAACCTGTGTAATATGCTCAAGTATCAAATGTATTGGTTAGGGGTGCTTTTTAGCTGCAGCTCTTATGGAATAGGCTTTCATGATTGGTGGATTCAAAATGCAGACAGCATTGGGCATGTTTCCCTTTAGAAAAAAAACATTTTCAAGGTCAGCCCTTCTGTTAGAAAACTTGTTAATTGTGTTCCACCTCCCAAAAGTTACAATTTTGTAGGTCCATCACAATTCAAATGAGCTGTGACAAAAGCATTCCTTTGTCATTGTTCACCCTGTAACTCATGACTGGCCTTGTGAAGGGATTTGTGACTGGACCTGTGGTGGGACTTGTGATGGACTCGAATACAACACTCGTTGAAAAGCTGTAATGTGTTTGCAGCAAATCATGTGATGCTTATTTTGTATCTGCCAATTCTACACTCCAATTTCACACTCATCAAAACACTGTCAACAATTTTTGTTGTTATATTATGCAGCTGTAATTAATTGGGCTTCAAAAACTTTCAACTGTATTTACAGTTCAACATTATGATAGTAGGACCTGACTTTATACAAGATCGGACATTTTATATCGAATGCATGACCTCTGGTGACAGTTGTGAGAGAAGGACAGGTAAAGCATTCACATGTGCAGCAAGTGAAATGTGTTTTACACTTTTATTGCTTGTTTTAGTTTGGATATTGATATTCTGAATTAGGGCCAGTCAAGGCAGGACTTGAAGTCAACAACAGCAACATATGTAAGGCTGTAAATATCAGAACTTGAATACAAAGGAACTTGATGTTACTTTTCGGAACTACACAGTTATTGAATAAAGTAAGAAAACATTGATAAGAAAAAAGAAGGAAAACAAGCCGAAAATTTGAAGAGGTGAGAAAATATTATTAGATGCCATCTTGAGATTGGAAGACTGAATGCGTGGATGGATTTTTTTGCTTGTCACAAGCCTCCGAAATATCACCAGAGGGCTCTTCTAATAAGTTATTAAGTGAATCTGAATAATTATTTTTCAGTTTGAAATCATTGGTGCTATGTATCTGGAACACGCATTTGTGGTGAAACATTACAGTTTTTCAGCTTGTGTTCTACGTTGATGTAGAGTGGTTGAAAAATCCTATTCCATTTTATCAGGAGTAGATCAATTAATTGAGTTTGGAACCAAACCATTTCCCCCACTTCTTGTCTTTTCAGAAGGTTGTATCCAAGTTTTATACCTCTTCATACAGTTTGAAGGCTTACAATAAAAGAATCATTTCTTGTGTGAAATACATTGCCTCCAACTTGGATGAGTTACTTAATGTTATCACAATAGCACAGGAAGATTTTTTTTAACATTTTAAACCCATTTTGTGGTTAGTTGGGAAAGTGTAATTCATAAAAATGAAGCTTAATTTGGTTTAATGGAATTACTTAAAAGGGATACCTGCATCTATGCTTCCATTTTTCTGAACTTTTAAAAAGCTCAGGCATGTTAGAAATGGTGCTACCACCTTTCTTTGGGGAAGTAATAATTAATACAGTTAGGACAGTTACCTTTCCAAAAAAAAAAAGAAGTTATTTACCAACCCCAAGTGTCCCAAGATCTTGATACACCTGTGTGATATGAAGACATAAACCTAGCTTAACTTAACCAGCCACACTGGTAGTCTAAGTAACTTGGACCCTACAAATCGCCTTTTTGAACATTTGGACTACTATCCCCCGACCGTGCCCAAATGTTAAAAAAAGGCGATTTGTTGGGTCCAAGTTACTCGGACCACCGCACTGGTAATTCTAGACTGAGATTGGAATGCCTTTCCTATTTGACTCATAACTTGGGAATTGGATGTAAGCATTGTAGCAAGAGTTTGCTAGGCCAAACATCTTCTGTGAGAAGGATTCTATTGATATTGTCCAGTGCGTGCAACTGATATTAATGGCGGCCAAACGATTTTCAAAGTTGGGAGGGCAGTTGTAAGGCCATTAAGTGTTAGTCATTTATTGGCTGATCCATTAAGCCCCTCCCTATTAAAGGACCTGCAAAAGTGGATGAGGGGTAGGCCCCCCAGTCAAAAAGGGGGGGGGGGCACTGGCCCTACTGCTCCCCCCTTCCACCACCAGTGCAGGATCGAGGGTCCCGGAATTACAAACTTTGCACAAATGTTATGGGTCCGATCTACTTTAGAGTATAGAGTTTTAGAAAAGTTTTCTGCATTTGTTTTCAGCTTAACAAAAACGAGAAATGCCATTAACTACACTTGTCCAGTCTGCAAGGTCCTTGTA